GAGGCGGAGGCGGAGGCGGAGGAGGAGGAGGAGGAGGAGGAGGAGGAGGAGGAGGAGGAGGAGGGCGACGGGGCACGTTTCGGGCTCGAGGCCTGAGGTCTTGGCATGCTCTTGTTGGCTCTCGGCGGTCCTCCGGCTTCGGGGGGGGTGCGCTCCGTCGGCTCTGCCTCGCCGCGTGGGCGTCCTGGCGGTGCCGGGGCCTCGCACGGCCGCCGGAGGCCCGAGCTGTGACCCGAAAGCCTTCAGTCGGGCCTGTCCCTCCACAGGGGGAAGATTCGAAAACAGTCAAAAAATAATATGGGGACTATTTCTTGAGTAAGAAAATTTCAAGATAGTCAAAAATATTAGTCAGGAAATAGTAATGAGATTATTTTGAAAAATAGACCAAAATAATATGGGGATTATTTTCTGAGTACTTTTGGGCATCTTCTGAGCATTTTTTTAAAGTATTGTTTATTTTTCTTCTTAAATCCCCCTGTAGGGGGACGCGCCCGAATTCACCCGAGCTGTGACCCGCACGCCACACGACGAGGGCCTCTTGCTCAGCGTGTCGCGCCGCCGGCTCGGGCCCACCACGCCTCGGCGCGACACACTGCCCACGGCCCGGTGCCAGGCGTCAGCGTCTCGAGCTGCCGCACAGCCGGCGCGGCTGAGATCGGAGGAAGGGCAGAGCCACGGTTTCTGGGAGGTCCGCGCGGATTTTTGAGAGGGTTGTCCGAGGAGGCGTTCTCGGTCAAGCGCTCGATTCGCCATGATGGCGACGTCGAACCCCTCCGAAGCAGGTTGCTGTGAGGCCAGATCCGGGAAATATCCGACGTATTCTGGATCAGTTCATGCTTGGGACGGATAGGGGGAGACGTGACAGTGATGAAGGAGGCATGGGAGTCGTTCTGACAGGGAGGGGCAGCAGGGGGCGTTACGTTTCGACCACTAGTCTACTGTGTTTTTCATCTCTTTTCGATTAGCGATTCGGCCAGAGCCGAGGCATGAGCTCTGAACAGGGGATTGCTGGTTTTATCTATTTCGATCGCGTGCCAAATAGGGGCGATGTCCCATGTCCCGTTTCGGCTGTCTCTCGAATTGTGCAGCGCCTGGTCACGCATCGCAGTGCCACCTACAAGCATAATATTCGTTGCGCCAGATTTCCCGAGAAGTAGGTTACGGCATGTAGCCTAGCATAGCTACCCGTACGGGATAACAAAATTTTGTGAAGGTTCGCGCGGATTTCTTGAATCGGCGCTGGGCGTCACTAGGCGACGTCTCTGGCGCCGTCCCTGGCGCGCTCCGCGCGCCAGAGATCAAGGGAAGAAAAAACACCAAGACCCGATCATTGGCGTTTGCTAAACGGCCCTGGGCGTTTACTAGACAGCCCTGCCTGCCCTGCCCTGCTCGATTCCTTCTTTGGGTGCGTCCACTACACGGCCTCGCGTATGAGGGTGGTTATTCTGGGGGCGGATTGGCTGCCCTCCAGGGGAGGGGGGGGGGGGGGGCAGCGCCGATCCAAGATTTTCGCGTGGGCCTCCGAGAAAGTATGCCCGTGCCGCTTTTTTCTTCCCCTGCTGGGGCAGCCATGCTGCTTGGAGCGGTTACCCTCGTGCTCCTCGGCCGCGCGCCGAGGGGGGGGGGGGGGGGGCAGGGGGGGGGGGCCAGGGCGCCTCGGAGAGGCAGCCCTGCACTGCGGGAAGGCGCGGGCCGAGCCCACGGGTGTAAAAGCCCCGCGCCGTCTCAGAGGCAGCCTCCCGAGAAGCCCCTCCCCCCCTTCTCCCGGACCCCCCCTCTGCGCTCAAGTCGGGCCTCTCCTCCTACAGGGAGATCTCGGACGAAAAATATGAGAGATTCCAGAAATACTCCAAAGATCCCCAAACATGTTCAAAAGATTGACCCCAGACTGTTTGTTGACTATTTTTGAATGTGCAGGGACAGGCCCGACTTAAAACTCTGCGCGCCGATGGGCCTGGCCGTGCCGCCGGCGGGCCCCGCGGGCCCGGCCGTGCCGCCGACGATTGTTTGACACACTGTTTGCCCATTCGGGGGGCATTTTGTGAAGTTTTTTGTACCCTTCGCCCGAGATCCCCCCTGTAGGGGAATCTTGTTGAGTATTTTGTCGAGCATTTTTATCGTTCGCCCGAAATCCCCCTTGTAGGGGGACACGCCCGACTTCACCGTAAGTGTGTCATGCCAGGTGCCTCCGAGCCCGCGGAGGCCTCGGCCGCGCCACCGCTGCGTGCAGGGCCGCGCGCGTCCTGGGCGCCCTGCCCTCCCGCCCGCAGGGCCCCCCCCGCGCCGCGGCCGGCCGTCCGCGGCGGCCCTCGCCGCCGACTGTATGCTGGCTGGGCGCTGCGCATGCCGCGGCGGGCGCTCCCGAGCCGAGCGGCCACGGGCGCCGCGGCACAGAGCAGAGCGCAGTCGTGCCAGAGGCGTTCTGTGGCCGTTTCTTCGCTCCATGCCGGAGCGGTCCAGTCGCGGGGCATCGTCCGGGAGGGCATGTCCCTTCCACGGGAGGAATGCTCGAGAAGAGGCTGGTGGCGATGTGTTCTTGCTCTTTGAATCTGCTCGGTGCAGATGGCTCCTTCCAAGATCCGCCTGTAGGAGGACATGCCTCAGGAGGGAAACAAAAAACACACAGACACAATGAATCGTCGATTCACCCGAAAATCTGGGAAGTGGGGGGGGGAAGACGAAAACCCAGAAAATATAAAAGAAGGTAGGGAATCCCGGGAATCCCTAGCTGTTGTGGCTTTCTGTCGCCCTCTCTCCTCCCTCGCTCCCCCTTCCCGCTCCCGCCCCCGTCTTGATTGGATCCTGGGGATGTTTTCTATCAGCCACGTTGCCGCTTGGGCTCTTACTGAGTATGCACTGGGCGTCATCATTCTAGAGTCGTTGTGTGTGGCCTCATTATATAATATAAGTGGTCGTTGGGACCATATGGGGTTTGGTGCACACACACACACACCGCCACTGTCCGTTCTCGGTTCCTCCTCCTCCTCCTCCTCCTCCTCTTCCTCCTCCTCCTCCTCCTCCGCCCGGGTCCCGAGTCCGGGGTCCTTCGTCCTTGCAGGGTTATTTTAACGGTGTCGTACCGAGCAGGCTCGGTCTAAAGGCTTGTGTAGAGGACTGGCGAACTAATCTGCATCATGTTTTCGATTTTCAGCCGTCGCCGAAAGTCTGGGGAGCTCTTCGCTTCCGGGTCGCGTTTAAGGGGCCCTAGGCTGCTGTGTCTTCATCGAGGAGAAAAAATTGTTTATGTGTCCTTGGGCCCCTTGAATGCACGACCTAATCTTAAGTCGGGCCTGTCCCTCTACAGGGGGAATGTTCAAAAATAGACAAAAAATAGTCTGGGGACTATTTTTTGCTCGTTTTTGGGCATATTTTGATTTGTTTTGCGTATTCTTTATTTTTCGTCCAAAATCCCCCTGAAGGGGGACAGGCCAGACCTAGACCTAATCTTCGTGCTTGGTTTCCCTATGTTGGAATGGTCTACGCTCGGGGTACCTCCGTGCGGCCTCGGGCCGACGGCTGGGGGGCTCCTGCTGCCTGGCCCACGCTCGTGTGGCCATGCTCCCAGCAGTGGCCCCAAACCTCCAGAGCATGACCGAGGGCGCCCTCGAGGGCGCGAAGTTATTCGCGCTTCGCGCTTGGCGGTTCGGCTCCGATTCCTCCTCATTCTCCTCTTCTCCCCTGGGAGGCGGCTCGAGAGCGCGAAGTTATTCGCACTTCGCACTTCGCGCAGCGCGAAGCGCGAAGTTGGGAGCCCTTGCTCCAGAGCATGACATCAAAACCAATGCGCGTTTTCGAACAAAAACAACGCCACAAACATAAGCTTTTGGCGCTCCGCGCGGATTTCTTGGATCCGCGCCTGGGCCCCCCGGCGGCGCCTCCGGCGCCGCCCCTGGCGCGCTCCGCGCGCCAGGGAGGGGGGGTCCTGCACGAATCCAAGAACTCCGCGCGGAGCGCCAAACGTTTGTGTTTGTGTGGCTTTTCCTTCTTCTATGTTGGCCTGCTGCTCGTCGTCGCTCTCGGCGCCTGGGGACCGTGTGCGGGCCCAGCGGCGGTCCGCAGACGAGCCAGGGCGAGGTGCGGGTCTCCGGGGACCGGTCCCGAGAGGCCCAGGCGCCTCCGGGGGGGCCTCGTGGTCCCGAGAGGTCCGGGGGCCTCTGTGGCGAGCGCGTGCAGGCCTCGGAGGTCTGGGACGGTCGCTGCGCCTCCAGGGGGCCCCGTGGTCCCGAGAGGTCCGGGGGGCCTCTGTGGCGAGCGCGTGCAGGCATCGGAGGTCTGGAGCAAATGCTGCTGCTCCTCCAGGGGGCCTTGACTTCGAGGCCCTGTCTGCATGTGTTCGGCGCTGGCCACGGCAAGGCGAGCAGGACGGGCGGAGCAGGAACGGGCGGAGCAGGACCGGGTGGACCAGGACCTCGGCGGAAGGGGGCCCGTTCCAGCAGCCCATCCCGCAACAGTGTCCAGGCGAGACGAGAGGAGGGAATTTTGAGAAGCACATGCGGAAGCAGAGGCGACCGCAATGGTGAATCTGGAGGCCTCCTGGGCCTTTTGGAGCCGTACTGGGGCTCCCTTTTGCATTTGGGGGAGCCTTGCGGACCATCTGGGGACTCTCCTGGGGACCTGGCTCTTTTGTGGCATTCTTGGATGGCATCAGTCAACAAAGGTGGCAGAGGAGTAGGTGGGGGGTGGGATTAGCTTCACGGAAGATCTCACCCGAACGTTTGATGATGACACCATTTTTGTTTGTTTGGGATGCGAAGACACACAGGGCGACCCGCGGGTCTGATGAGTAGGTCGACCCCACGCAATCCAGGGCAGCCTTGTGTCGCGCATGCCAAGCTCGATGCTCTCCTCCTGCACACAGCATCTTGCCCCGCGCAGGGGATCGCACTAATCGGAGTCCGACAACATGGAGGGCACGGGCCCGACGCAGGCCAGCCGATGCGAGCGCACGCACGCACGCAGGATGTCGCGCCCAGACGGCGCACCGGCAAGAAGTGAAACAGACGAGCGACACATGTGTGCTGAGGCAAGCAGGGCTTAAGTCGGGCCTGTCCCCTTACAGGGGGAATTTCTACGAAAAATAAAAAACACCCTCACAATAGTCAAAACAATACCCCAGTGCGACCCTACCTAGAAGTTGGAGCCCCTAGGAAAGCAGCATTAGTTGCTATGCTATGCTATACCATGACATGCTATGCTGCGCTATGCTATGTTATGCTATGCTGCGCTATGCTATGCTATGCTAAGCTAAGCTATGTTATGTCATGCTGCGCTGTGCTATGATATGCTATGCAATGCTATGCTATGCTATACTAAGCTGCGATGTACTATGATATGCTATGATATGCTATGATATGCTATGCTATGATATGCTGCGCTATGCTATGCTATGCTAAGCTATGCTTGGCTATGCTATGCTATGCTATGCTATGTTAATGCAGCGCTGCGCTATGCTAAGCTAAGCTAAGCTAAGCTAAGCTAACCCTCTAGGCAGAGCCTAGGTAGGGAATTACACCCATGCTATGCTGCGCCATGCTATGCAACGCTATGCTATGCTGTGCTCTGCTATGCTAAAGCTCAGCGAAGCTAAGATGAAGGTAAGCTAAGCTAAGATAAACCTGAGCTAAGATGAAGCTAAGCTAAGCTAAGATGAAATAAGCTAAGCTAAGATGAGATAAGCAACGCTAAGCTAAGGGGACGTCACTGGGGGAACCGCGGGGCGGATGCCGGGGGAACCGCCAGGGGCGTTATCCACTGCCCGGCCCTTTAAGCACAGAGGGTAAGAACCTCTCTAGGCAGAGCCTAGGTAGGGAATAATACTCCCGATCATAATCTTTTTAGGGCTATAGGGCAATGAGGCTATGGGGCTGTAGGAACATAGGGCTATAGGTCTATTACCCCAGTGCGACCCTACCTAGAAGTTGGAGCCCCTAGGAAAGCAGCATTAGTTGCTATGCTATGCTATACCATGACATGCTATGCTGCGCTATGCTATGCTATGCTATGCTGCGCTATGCTATGCTATGCTAAGCTAAGCTATGCTATGTCATGCTGCGCTGTGCTATGATATGCTATGCAATGCTATGCTATGCTATACTAAGCTGCGATGTACTATGATATGCTATGCTATGCTATGCTATGATATGCGGCGCTATGCTATGCTATGCTAAGCTATGCTTGGCTATGCTATGCTATGCTATGCTATGTTAATGCAGCGCTGCGCTATGCTAAGCTAAGCTAAGCTAAGCTAAGCTAAGCTAACCCTCTAGGCAGAGCCTAGGTAGGGAATTACACCCATGCTATGCTGCGCCATGCTATGCAACGCTATGCTATGCTGTGCTCTGCTATGCTAAAGCTCAGCGAAGCTAAGATGAAGGTAAGCTAAGCTAAGATAAACCTGAGCTAAGATGAAGCTAAGCTAAGCTAAGATGAAATAAGCTAAGCTAAGATGAGATAAGCAACGCTAAGCTAAGGGGGACGTCACTGGGGGAACCGCGGGGCGGATGCCGGGGGAACCGCCAGGGGCGTTATCCACTGCCCGGCCCTTTAAGCACAGAGGGTAAGAACCTCTCTAGGCAGAGCCTAGGTAGGGAATAATACTCCCGATCATAATCTTTTTAGGGCTATAGGGCAATGAAGCTATGGGGCTGTAGGAACATAGGGCTATAGGTCTATTACCCCAGTGCGACCCTACCTAGAAGTTGGAGCCCCTAGGAAAGCAGCATTAGTTGCTATGCTATGCCATGCCATGCCATGCTATGCTGCGCTATGCTATGCTCTGCTATGCTATGATATGCTATGCTGCGCTATGCTATGCTATGCTATGATAAGCTATGCTATGTCATGCTGCGCTGTGCTATGCTCAGCTATGCTATACAATGATAAGCTGCGCTATGATATGCTATGATATGCTATGCTATGCTGCGCTATGATGCGCTATGCTATGTTATGATTGGCTATACGGTGCTATATTATGCTATGCTAATGCAGCGCTGCGCTATGCTAAGCCAAGCTAAGCTAAGCTCAGCGAAGCTAAGATGCAGGTAAGCTAAGCTAAGACAAACCTGAGCTAATATGAAGCTAAGCTAAGCTAAGATGAAATAAGCTAAGCTAAGATGAGATAAGCAACGCTAAGCTAAGGGGACGTCACTGGGGGAACCGCGGGGCGGATGCCGGGGGAACCGCCCGGGGCGAGGAACATTGCCCGGCCCTTTAAGCTTATAAAGTAAGAACCCTTCTAGGCAGAGCCTAGATAGGGAATAATCCCAAAGTAGTCGGGAGACTATTTGTTTGAGTATTGTTTGTCCTTTTTGGGGTATTTGTGGAGGTATTCTTTGTTTCTCGTTGAAAACCCCCCCTGTAGGGGGACACGCCCGACAGAAAGCGAGGCGAGCTTGTGCAGCAGAGCGGACCAACGCAGTGCCCCGAGCGCGTCGGCGGCGTGGTCCTGCGCCCGCGGCCCCACAGGACTGGCTGTGCCTCTGGCTGGTGCAGGAGCGGCGCAGGGGCGCCGCGTCCAGGAGAGGGGCGCGGGGCAGCCGCGCAGGGGCAGGGGCTCGCGCGCGCGCCCCCCTTCCCAGGGCCCCCCGTGCGTCGTGGACGGGAGGAGGAGGAGGAGGAGGAGGCGGAGGAGGCGGAGCAGGAGGAGGAGGAGGAGGAGGAGGAGGAGGAGGAGGAGCAGGAGGAGCAGGAGGAGAGAGGAAGGTGGGGAGGAGGAAAGAGGAGGTAGGAGGAGAGGAGGAGGAAGGAGGAGGAGGAGGAGGAGGTGGAGGAAGGAGAAGGAGGAGGAGAGAAGGAGGAAGAGGAGGGGAGAGAGGAGGAGAGGAGGAGGAGGAGGAGGCGGAGCAGGAGGATGAGGAGTGAAGGAGGAAGGAGGAGGAGGAGGCGGAGCAGGAGGAGCAGAGCGGAGGAGGAGGAGGAGGGAGGAGGAAAAGGAGTGAGGAGGAGGAGGAGGAGGAGGAAAAGGAGGCTGAGGAGGAGGAGGCGGAGGAGAAGGAGGAGAAGGAGGAGCCGGAGAAGGAGGAGGAGGAGGAGCAGGAGGAGGAGGAGGAGGAGGAGGAGGAGGAGATGAGGAGGAGCCGGAGAAGGAAGGAGGAGGAGGAGAAGGAGGAGGAGGAGGAGGCAATCGCGACGGACGGCGTTTCGCTCTCGTGGGCTTTTTGGGGGCCCTGGCCGGGCTCCGTGGCCCTCGAAAAGGACGCAGCATGAAACGCGGGTCCTGGGAGGAGTGGTTCAGACCTCCGAGGTTCCACGTTCGGGCAGGGTTCGGAACAGGGATGCATCGACTCAGAGCGTTCTGGAGCGCTCTCTCAGAGCGTTCCAGGGCGCTCCGAAACGGCCGCGGCGCTGGATGCGTCCTCCAGAACCGCCGGATCTCAGAGATCTCCGACACATCCGTTCCTGTCTTCCGGTTGCACGTAAGAGTGACCCTTCGCCGGAGTGACCTTCGGTGCGGGCCCAGGGGGGTCCCCCCAGTGCCCCTCAGCACTGGACTGCGCGCTTGGAGTCGGTCCGAGCGTGGTCCTTGAACATCGCGCACGAAAAGTCAGTCTTGCCTAGGGTTAGTTCTGGAGTAGGAGATCTACTACAGAATTGATTTGCCCCCGAATTGAACTTTTTGTCGAATTTATACAACGTGCATACACGTTTCGTACACTTACGAGACTTATGAGTGTTTTGCTGGTAGATTCGGCGAACACCAACTGTAGGGTACATCAATTCTGCAGTTGATCTCCTGCTCGAACTTGTGCGTGCAGCCGAATTTGGTCCCGACTTGGCTTCGCCCCACACGTTACAACCCGCCACAGGCGCCGCTTTCCCTCGAGAAAAGTGCGGCGCCCGCCGGCAACCGGTCGGCCTTATGGACCTCCCGCCAGGCCGCTGCAGTTGCCGAGCTGCTGTTCCGCCCCGCTCGGCTGTCCGTAGAGTTCCGTCGGGCATGGCCCTCCACAGGAGGAAGATTCAAGCATATTCTTAAAATAGTACGGGGACTATGTGTTAGACAATCCTTGAGAATTGTTGATTTTTTGTCGCCCATATCCTAAGATGGGGTTCTTGTTATTACTTGGGTGCCTCCTACTCCTTCCTCCTCTTCTTCTCCTCCTCATCCTCCTCATACCCAGACTTCTTCATACACAGACTTACTCATACCCAGACCTAATCATACTCAGACTTCTTCATGACACAGTAAGCTCACACCCACTCAAATACATACCCAGTCATAGTCATACTCACTCCCACTCGTGTACATTATTTGCGGTACAGCGCGTTTCCACTCACTTGGACTTATTCATGCTCAGATATACTCATACCCGTACTTACTCATGCACAAACTTACTGATCCTCAGACCTACTCATATTTAGATTCACTCATACTCGGACTTATTATTCATGCTGAGACTCATTCATATCCAGACTTACTCATACTCAGACTCTTTCCCAGACGTACTCAGACACAGGCTTACTCCTGCTCAGACCTACCCATACTCAGATATTTTTTTATTTAATCGCTTCGCTCATTCCGCCGGCCCATACAGTCTCATGTCTGCCGTTTGCCCGAGGGCCTGGTGTCAATGCGGCGCTTTGGGGGTTCCTGGGGCGCTCGGGGGGGCATTTGGGGGGCCTCCTGGGGCCGCTTGGGGGACTCTTGGGGGCCTCCTGAGGGCCTCGTCGGGGCCTCTTGGGGCCTCTCAGGGGCCTCTTGGGGCCTCGGAGGGGCTTCTTGGGGCCGAGGGCTGGAAATGTTGTTTCGTGTTCCCTCTCTTGGGGCGTTCTTGGGGCCCTCTTGGGCCGTCTTGGAGGCTTCTTGGGGCGATCTTGGGGGCCTCTTGGGCCGTCTTGGGGCGTCGGGAAGCCGAAAAGGTGGAAGCTCCAAAATCTCTCAAAAACCTAAGGAAAATCAATGAATTTTGCCTCCGGAGGCCCTCTTGGGAGTGCTCTTGGAGGCCTCTTGGGGCGTCTGGGGGCCATCTTGGGCGTCTTGGAGCGATCTTGTGGCATGTCGGACCCCTCGTGTACCATCTTGGGGGCCTCTTGGGGGCCTCTTGGTTTTGTTTGGGTCCTCGGGGACGTTTTCGGAGCCCTGTTGGTGCGCTCATGGGGCGCTCGGGGGGACCCGGCCGGGGACCCGGCCGGGGACCCGGCCGGGGACCGGCCGGGACCTGGTCGGGGTACTTTTCGTCCGGGGACCCCCAGGGGCCGCCCCGCGCGCGCGAACTAGAGAATTGTTAACCAGTTACCGGAGATCTTAGCACGCCTCTGGCCCGTTGGGCCGGCGAATTGTCTGACTTACTCAACACACAGCAGGTTGTCAAGATGTCTCCGGCGGGGCGATGATTTCAGCACCTCCAAGGGGAGCCGCCAGGGGTGTTTTCATTGTCCCTTTCGCAGCAATTTTGTAGGGATGTCTCAGGCGGTTTGCCTGTTTTCTGTCTCATCACCCTTAGCTATCAGAGCAGATTTTGAGGATGTCTCAGGCGGGGCGCTGGTTTCAGCACCTCCAAGGGGAGCCGTCAGGTAGGTTTTCACGGTCCCGTTCGCAGCAATGTTGTTGGGATGTCTCAAGCGGTTTGCTTGTTTTCTGTCTCAACATCCTTGGCTGGGAGAGCAGATTGTGAGGATGTCTCAGGCGGGGCGCTGGCTTCAGCATCCCCATGGGGAGCCGCCAGGGGTGTTTTCACGGTTCCCTTCGCAGCAATTTTGTGGGGACGTCTCAGGCGGTTTGCCTGTTTTCTGTCTCATCATCTTTGGCTATCAGAGCAGACTCTGAGGATGTCTCAGGCGGGGTTCTGGTTTCAGCACCCCTAAGGGGAGCCGCCGAGAGTATTGCACGGTCCCGTTCGCTGCCGTCGTGTGGGGTTGTCTCAAGCGGTTTGCTTGTTTTCTGCCTCAACATCCTTCGCTTGGAGAGCAGATTGTGAGGACGTCTCAGGCGGGGCGCTGGTTTCAGCACCCCAAAGGGGAGCCGCCGAGGGGTATTGCACGGTCCCGTTCGCGGCTGTTTTGTGGGGACGTCTCCAGCGGTTTGCCTGTTTTCTGTCTCAACATCCTTCGCTTTCGGGGCAGATTTGGAGGATGTCTCGAGCGAGGCGCTCATTTTCACCCCCCAGGTGGGCCAGATGTTGAGGATGTCTCGATCGGTTTTCTTGTTTGGGTGGCCAGACTCGTGGGCACATATTCTCCTCAGGATGCCACAGAAGGCTCAAACAAGCTCCAGGAGGCCCCAGGAGGCCACATGAGGTCCCCGGAGGCATCAGGAGGCCACAGAAAGACTCAAGAGGCCACAGTATGTCCCAAGAGGCTCCAGGAAGCCCCAGGAAGCTCCAGGAGGCCTCAGGAAGCCACAGGAGGCCCCAGGAGGCCACAGGAAGCGCCAGGAGGCCTCGGAAGGCAACAGGAGGCCCCGAGAGGTCCCAGGAGCAGGAGGCCGCAGAAGGCAACAGGAGTGGCTCCAAGCCCATGTGTTTTACGTATGCTCCTATACATTGGGCCTCACCTGGAGCACGAATCCTTGATGTTATACGTATGTTTCTATCGATTGTCCTTCTCCTGTGTGCACAATCCTACATGTTTTATTTATGTTCGTTTATATTGGGACTCTCCTGGGGCAGGAGCCCTTGGTGTTTTACATTGTTCCTATAGATTGCCCTTCTCCTGCGGCTCCAATCCGCAATGTTTCATGTACGTATGTTGCTATAGATTGGGCCTCTCCTGGGGCACGAATCCTCCTTAGGAGGTACCAGGAGGCCCCAGGAAGCTCCTGGAGGCCCCAGGAAGCCCCAGTAGGTTTCAGGAGGCCCCAGGAGGCCCCAGGCTCATGCGCAGAGACGCGCTCGTACTACTGAGGCTCATTCACACTCCAATTCATTCGCAGTTAGATTCATGACCAGACCGTCACAACTTAAGCCCGTTGATATTCGAAAACTCTGACGCCTAGACACTCACGGCGGCCAGGTCCATGCGAACAGATGCACATATGGGGAGCTCCACGCAGTGAATCATTTGCATATATGCTATTTTTCGTCCAGGGCCCGCCTGCAGGAGGACCTGCCCGACCTGACCGCAGAGATCCGACGCTCTGGGCAGGTTGGGGCGGGCGGCTTCTGGCCGTTTTCGGCCTCCAGGGGCCGTCGCCGGGGCTCGGGAGCGTCAACAAAAATCACTCGGGACGAAGCACCTGCCTTATATACCCAGACATGCGACGTCTTGATCTTGTTCCGGACGGCGTCCCTGGAAGTCCCGACCCTCTCCCCATGGACCGGCTTCTCGTCCCGAGTCGGCTTCTGACGGTCCCCAGGGCCCGGCGAGGGCCCCCCGGCGCCGAAGATAGCGAAAAGCCGCCCGTCCTGATTTTTGTCCCCCACATGTTTCTTGGGGTCCTGGTTTTCTTCTCTGCCGCGTCGCACCCGCGTGTCCTCCCACCACACACCTGCCTCTTCCCCTCCTCCTCTTCCTCTCCTCTTCCTCGCGTCGCCCGAGCGCAACGCTGGTTTCTCCCCACGTCCTTACTGGGGTTCTGGTTTTCTTCCCTGGCGAAAAACCGCCCCTCCTGATGTGCGATCGTGTCTGGGCAGGGGAGTGGTCCGGAGCTCGGGGGCCCTCGCGCCGAAGGAATTGTGGGAGCAGCCGGACGTGTCCGGGGTCCCCGCGGGGCGTGCCGCCTCTTCCCGGCGGCGCGCTCCGGGCCACAGGGCGGGGCCTCCTTGAAAGAGCTCGCGGAGGGGCAGCGCGCGCGATCCGTGTGCATTTTGGGGCGGCGACGGGGGGAGGGAATGCTAGGGGAACGGGCGATGGCATAAACATACAAACTCGGAGGGTTGCGCGGATTTCTCGGATCGGCGCTGGGGCCCCCTGCGGCGCCTCCGGCGCCGCCCCTGGCGCCCTCCGCCTGCCAGGGAGGGGGGTTCCTCGCGGATCCAAGAAATTCGCGCAGACCTCCGAGTTTTTGCTTGTAACTATGTCATGGCTCGTTCCCCAAAATGCTCGTAGAGTAGTGGAGCAAACCTGAGCAGCGGAATCGTCGGCAAGAGCAGGCCTAAGGTCGAGGCTTCTCTCGAATGGAGGTCGTAAGGATTGCTTTTGATGGGTCAGGCGCGCTGGCCGAGCGTGTTGGGATCTGGCCCTGGAAGCAACGCTGCCCCCCCACCCGCTGTCCTCCAAGGCCTTCCTCCCTTCCCCTCCCTTCCCTTTCTACTCACCTCTCTGCTCTCCTTCCCTCTTCTCTCTCCGCCCCTTTCCTTACCCGTGCCCACTTGGAACCCCTATGGGGGGCACCGAAATGGGGACGAAAAGAATGGGGACGAAGATCGGCAGCAGTCCCTGTCCACGTCGAGCAGGATTCGCTGTCGGCGTCCCCGTGAACGCTTCCTACTTGGGTCGGGCGTGGCCGGTCAAATACATAGCAGGCGCTGTCGGTTTTAAACAGCATTTGTTTGATGTTGTGCCTCGTCCTCATCCTTTTCGTCTCCATCTCGGGCGTGCCACTTCCCCCTCCCGCCTTCGGTACATGTCCTGGCTCTGCGGCTTCCCTATTTCTCTTCCTCTTCCTCGCCTCGTCCACAGTTGCTCAGTCTGAGCACTACTCTTTTCTCTCCCCTGACTCTGTCCGGAAGATGTCCCGCCCTGCCGCTCTCTACACAGGCTTCGGCAGCGGTAGTTCTTCTTACGGCTTGTCAGAGCCCGATCGTGTCTGGCGTGTCAGCACGTTGCTCCCGCTGGAGCACGGGCCTCGTTCTTGGTCGGAAAGTGGAACATATACATTACCAGTTGCGGGCTGTTTTGCAATCCCAGGTTTTTTTGAGGGTCGAGGAGGACGCCGGGGTGGTGTGGTGTATACTTTTTTCCCCGGTGTCCCGGGGAAACGACGAAAAATGTATACACCAGGATCCCGTATACACCAGAATGCGCCTTCCTGTGCGCATTTCGGCGCAGGGTCGGGACAAGCGTCGGTGTAGAGGGTTCGATTCCCTACTTGGATCGGCGCTTGGCTTCCGCCGTTCAGCATGGCGCCGTCGCCCCAGCGCGGGCCCCCTTTTCCGTGCCTTCTCCTCCAGCGCTGGTCGCCCCCCTCTCGTGGCCGCTCCCCTGCCGCTCCCGGGCCCTCCTGCGTCTCCCGCTCCCGCTCGCCTCCCCCTCTCCTGGCGCGCCCGGTGCCGTGCAACAGCCCACGGCCAGCACGCGCAGCACGCTGAAGTCTTCGTGATCGTGCCAGCCTTGTGGAAGCCGATTCATGGAGAGGAAGCATCTGTCTAACAAGTGTTTCAACCATGTCTTAAATCTGTAAAAGCATGTTTGAAGCATTTTCAGAACATGTGTTACACATGCTGAACACCCTTTCAATTCAATGATGGGACTGTTAGAGTGTCCATTGTCATGGCAGCCACAATACCAGCCAAGCTACAACTGGGCCGTTTCACCACCGGCGACAGCTTTTTGCACGATCTTCCGACAGCTTCAGCACGGAGGGCGGGGCCGTTTGCAGACTTGCTCTCACCTCTTCAGTCTTCATGGCTGGAAGCTCAAGCTTGTGCAACAGGGTCGTGGATTGTTGGCGGGTCCTTCCTCGAAGCCGGAATCTCGTCTGAGACGCGACCAGCATTCAGGGCCTTTTGTTCAGCATGCGTCAGCAGCTGCGGATCGAGGGCGGGGCCTCTTCGACGCGGGGCTCTGGCTAGACCCCCCCCTTGAACTGTAATGACCATCTCGCGTGTTCAAGTCGGGCCTGCCCCTCTACAGCAGGAGTAGCCAAGCATAGTCAGAAAATCGTCAGGGGACGATTTTCTGACTATATTTGAATCTGTTGGGTGTTTTTTTTGTGATTTTTTCCCTTTCCTCCAACATCCGCCTGCAGGGGGGGGGGGGGGGGGCATGCCCGACCGAAAGGCAGGTGGATGGAGTGCAGGCCGCCCTTCAAAGTCTCGGTCTTCGCCTGCGTGGCAGGCCCACGCGGCGGCGGCGTCCTTCAGGCGGAGCCCTCCCCGGTAGAGAAAAAGGGCTGGACGCTGCGGGTCTCCGCGGCCTCGCGGACGCATCCTGGGCTCGCTCTGGTCGTTCTGCTCCTCCTCCTCCTCCTTTTCGCCCCTTGCTTCAGCCGCAGCTGTCCTTACCATTCGCCTCTCCCTGTTGTCTCCTCCTCCTCCTCCTCCTCCTCCTCCTAGGATGAAGAGGAGGATGAGGAGGAGGAGGCGGGGGAAAGGGGGAGGAGGAGAAGGAGGATAACGAAGAAGAGGATGAACATGATGATGAGGATGATGATGATGATGATGATGATGATGATGACGATGATGATATAAGGACGGGGAGGAGGATTCTGTCAGACGGGGGGATCAAGTGAACGATGATGACGATTCTGGTGGTGGTGGTAGTGATGGTGGTATCGATGATGCTGATGATGATGGGGATGGGGATGAAGATGGCGGTGGTGGCTAGGAATATCAGATACAACGATGATGCTTATGGTGATGATGAGGAAGAGGACGGCCGTCTCATGTGTCACCTTCCATTTCTCGAGCAGCTTTGACGGAATTCATTTGGGCTCGCTTGAGGCTGTATTCGATTCCTGTTGGGCAGCCTCGGGGATCCATTGGGCCACTTTTGGCCATCTTGGGGCCCTCTTTGGCCGTCTTGGGGCCGTCTCGGGCCGTCTTGGGGCCCTCTTGGTCGGCTGGGGGGCAAGAATCTTGCAACCGTCGTGGGACTTTCTTGCGTTCGTTTTGGGGCCGTCGAGGGGCTCTGAGGCCGTCTTGGGCCCCTCTGGAGACCCTCTTGGGCCAGCTTGGGTGCCTCTCCGTCTAGGGTCCCATCTTGATCCGTCTTGAGGCCGTCTAGGAAAATTATTCAGCAATTTTTGGACGCTCTTTGACAGTTTTTGGACCACCTTGGAGGCCTCCAAGGCTGTCTGGAGCGAAAGGAAGCCCGAAGAGGTGAAGACCCCCCGATATTTCAAAGCCTGTGGAACATCCATGATTGGGGCTTCTTCGAGCCCTTCTCGGGATCTTTTTGTCACACTCTGAAGGCCCATCATGGCGCGAAACATACAGTGGGGGCGCGCATCAAGAAACCATATGCTTTTCGTCAGGGTAACCTGGGTTTCTTCGCTCCTCGCGCTGCGCGGTGACTTCCCGCAGCCGTTGAAGGAGCTGCTGCATTCAGGGTGCTCCAGGTTTCCCCTCCGGTGCACCTAGCGCAGGGGTTCTCAGGGTTGGGTTTCTTGCGAGGGTTTCTTGCGGCCGCGCCCGCACTGTATCAAAAAACCTCTCTCCTTCATCTTCGATCCTCTTCCCCTACATGCTTTGCAACCCTCCGGCGGGAAGAGCAGCAGGGATGCGCCGCCCTTGGGAGCCCGCAGGCGTGGCACTCTCTCTCGCTGGCGCCCGCCAGTCTCGTGCCACCCCTTCGCTTGCGCCCGCCGGCGTGGCGCTGCCTCCCACGGTGACGCGCCGATGGGCTTCCCGCGGCGGCGTGCCGTGGATGCTGCTCGCCCCCCCCCCCCCCGCGCCTACCCGGGCATCGCCCGGACGTGTGCCTGTTGCCTCGGCGGCTCCTCCACGTCTGGGCGCCCTCCCCCGTCCACCCCCCGCGCGGGCGCCCCTCGTCTGCGCCTCTCTCTCTCTCTCTCGCCGCACGCTGGGCAGTTTTCCCGGATCGGTTGCCCCTGTGCGCCCCGTCGCTGGTGCGGATTGCCGCCGCCTCGCCGCCGACCAACAAAAACAAGTTTTTCCTCGGCGGGGACCATCGAGGAGCGGAATGCAAAAGCCGCGCGAAGCCGAGACATGCACGGGGAAGGACCGTCCGAGGGATGGCAGGCAGCCGCGGGCCCAGTGCGAAAGACTCGACCCCTCCACCGGGGGCAGCCTGTCATTCCCTATGGGGCCCGAGCAGGGGCCCCCGGAGGGCGAAGCAACCGTCGATGCGGCGCCGGGGCCTCGCAGATAGCACGGCGTCGGAGGTTTGGGCCTCGATCGTTCGAGCCGCTTCTGGCAGGAGACGCTCGCTGCTTTCCTGGGGATTCTCCACACCAGCCCCGGCTCCTCCTCCTCTTCCTCCTCCTCCTCCGCCTCCGCCTCCTCCTCCGCCTCCTCCTCCTCTTCCGCCTCTTCCTCGTACTCCTCCTCCTCCTCCTCCTCCTCCTCCTCCTCCTCCTCCTCCTCCTCATCCTCTCCTCCTCCTCCTCCTCCTCCTCCTCCTCCGTCCTCCTCCTCCTCCTCTTCCTCTTGCTCCTCCTCCTCCTCCTCCTCCTCCTCCTCCTCCTCCTCCTCCTCCTCCTCCTCTTCCGCCTCCTCCTCTTGCCTTTTTTCGCAGGCGCCTTGGCTATGAGCGCTTGAAGTCGGTCTTTTCCCGCCCGCGAGCCGGACGGCGTATGGCCAACTCGTGCAGCGCATTACCGCGCACCTGTCCTGCTGCCTCCCGTGCCGGCTCTCTGGAGGGCCCGTGCCCCGGCCCGCTCTCGCGCTGCCCTCTCGCAACTGTGGCTTGGCCGTCGGGCCGACGGTGAGCTCGCTGGCCTCGATCCTCGATCCTCGATCCTCGATCCTCGATCGAGGTACCCATACCTCTACCCTTCGCCCATCTCCCCCTCTTTTCGGGCCTCCTGGGAGGGCCTCGTCGCCACCGCCGGACTCGCCTCGACATCCTGGCCAGAACGCACCCCGGGAGAGGCCCGGGGAGTAGCGGGATCGGTACCTTCCAGACATGCGACGTCCTGATTTTATTCCGGACGGCGTCCCCGGAAGTCCCGACCTTTTCCCGAGGACTGGCTTTTCGTCCCGAGTCGTCTTGGCGCCGAAAATAGCGAAAAACCGCCCGGCCTGATTTTTTCCCCATAATTTCTTGGGGTTATGGTTTTCTTCTCTGCCGCGTCGCACCCGCGTCTCCTCCCACCACACACCTCCCTCTTCCCCTCCTCCTCTTCCTCTCCTCTTCCTCGCGTCGCCCGAGCGCAACGCTGGTTTTTCCCCACGTCCTTCGTGGGGTTCTGGTTTTCTTCCCTGCCGCGTCGCACCCGCTCCTCTTATCCTCCTCCCCACCCTTTTGCTTCTCCGTCCCGCTCGCCAGTGCACGCCTGGCGTGTTCACTGCAGCGTACACCCACGACGTATGCGCCACATACAGGGCAACAACATGGTAAACACATCCAGATACAGCGAGGCCGCTATGCGCGCTTCTCGTCCAGGGCATAGCAGGCGTGACACTATAGGGGGTGCGCAGAGGGTGGTCCCTCAGCGCGGTCGCTATCCGTCACGGTTGTCCAGGACATAGCAGGCGTGGCATATTCTCGACACCATCGGGGGTGCGCAGGGGGTGGTGCCTCAGCGCGGCCGCTATGCGTCACAGTCGTCCACGGCATAGCAAGCGTGGCACTTTCTCGACACCATAAGGGGGTGCGCAGGGGGTGGTCCCTCAGCGCGGCCGCTATCCGGGACGGACGTCCAAGGCG